GTCTTCACCGAGAAGGTGGCTGCCACCTACCACATCGGTGTTGGTGATCTTGGCCAGCATCTCCACCAGGGCATCAGCGGTGAGCGAGCTCACTTCCTCATCCTGCTGCAGCCCGCAGACGGCAGCTCCCACACTTCCAGTCGCAATCATCGATGGTGGGTACATGGCGAACTTAAAGTCTGTGAAACGAGGCAGAAGGTCAGGGCACAGGCAGGAAGAGGTCCAGGAGCTCCCCAGCCTGAAGATACTCAGAAACAGACCCCGACAACCCTACAGACTCAACCTGTAAGGTTGGGTGGCGGGTGTAGGGGGAAGACATGGGTTGCACTTCAACTTGAACCTTCAAAAACAGTTCAACCTTGTGTTTCCCTTTCTTCCTCTACAATGCACAATTACAACCGTCCACGGAAGCACTTTTTAAAATATATATATATATATATTTTATTCAGAGAGGAAGGGAAAGGGAGAGAGAGAGAGAGATAGGAAGCACTTTTATCAGTGACCCCACTGTCCAGCGCCAAGTCAGTGGTGTTCCTAGAAACACTGCTGCTCACTGAACCATGCTCAGACCGCCACCAACCCCATGGACGCAGCAGGCCTGGCCATCTGACGGTCTGTCTGGCTTTCTTTCCTTAGCCCTCTCACTATTTCCACCTCTTGAGGGACATCTATTATGATGATCTGCCCAAAGCCTGCTGTCCACTAGCTCCTCCAGAGCCATCTCCACCCCCAAGGACACTAACAAAGCCAACCTCCTTGCCTCCTGTTCTGCTGTAGGTCTCGTCCCCAGGGGGTCAAAGGAGGGCTTCTCTGCCCAATAACCTCATTAGCTTCCCCCTGTGGCATTCATAATGCAGAGGAGTAAGCCAGCCCGTGGCCCTGGGCCCACGAAAGCCTGGGTAGGAGCATCTGGCAGGGAAGCGCAGGAAGATATCGTTGGGCTCTCCTTCCTCTATTCAGTTCTCAGACCAAGAAGCACACCTCACACATGCCTATCTTTGTTGTCCCTCTGCGTGCAAAACCAACTCCTATTTGTAGCAAATGAACTTCTAGAAGCCAGGAGGTATATATAGGTGGTCCTGGGTGCAGCAGGCACTAGCTACCCAGGACTCTCTCTCTCTCTCTCTCTCTTGTTTTGTTAGGAAAACATACTGAGGGAAGTCCTGGGGACACTGTCCCCTCTCCCCAGAACTGGGGAGCATCTTGTGCATGAACACAGCTGCCTCTCAACAGGTCAGTGTAGCACAGGCTGGGCCTAGCACCCCCATGGTGAGGAGCTGCTGGTGACCAGGCTGGCCACTGCTCCATGCCACCCTCTTTGGCAGCAGACCAGCGTCCTCTAGAGCCAGAAGCAGCTGCCCAGCTCGCCTGCTTAGTCAGACAGGAGGTGGCGTTAGCACTAAGAAGCCTGGTCCAGGCCATGGGATCTTGAACAAGTCACTTCCTCCCTTAATGGAATCCCATTAAGATCAGCGTTTTTCTAACCTCCAGTTGCAGTTCATTAATGGGTCATGAAATTCATCAGTGGGGCATGACCAGCATTTTCAGTTGTTTAATGGAACAGAAGAGGATAAAAGTATCAGAAGCAGTGCATGTAGTAAGAGTAAATACCATTTTGAGAAACTTTTGTATCAGTTTGATGTCTTTATGTGTCTCCAGAGTTGTGTTATATAGTCTATTTCTTCCTTCAAGGTTTAGGTCAAAAAGTTTAAAGACCTCAGGCTAGCTAATCTCCCAGATGCCCTCCAGCCCTAATTTGCTTTTACTCAAATCTGAAATAAGAGACTCGCCCAGGGTGGGTGGCTCAGTTGGTTGGAGCGTCATCCCATACACCGAAAGGTTGTGGGTTCGATTCTCGGTCAGAGCACATACCTAGGTTGTGTGGGAGGTGACCGATGCTTCTTTCACAATGTTTCTCTCTCTCCAGAAATCAATTAAAAACATAGCCTCAGGTGAGGGTTAAAAAAACAAAAAACAAACTCCCTAGAACAACTCCCTAGGAAAAAAGCAAGGAAGAGACAGCAGAATATAGCACGGCTTCCATCAGCCAGGGGTCACAAGGCATCTCATCCTGCATGGCATCAGGTGCGGCCCCAGCACCACCTCAGGGACACCCCCTCTGCTGGTAGGGGAACAGCAGCGAGAAAAACACTAAAATGAAACATCTGAAGGGTCATGACCTTGCATTAGCTCTAGTCAGCCAGCCAACCCTCCCCCTCCACCCCAATCCATGGGACATTCTACCCAACCCATTTCGCCATTCCTAAAAACCTTAAAACTTTGGCTACGTGATCGGATTGAGAAATGCCCATGGTATCACTTGGGGGTGGGGAAAGGACAGAAAAACATGCATAGGTACTAATTTTACAATGTTTCATCAATATGTAAATACATATACACACACACACACACACATAGGTATGAACTAGGAGCGTACACAGAAAATGTATACAAATTTTACTACCATTTGGTTGGGGAAATAAATTTTTGTAAATTTTCTTTTAGTATTATTTTACTGTAGCGAATAAAACCAAGTAAAAATCTCTCAGAAATCTCTAAGTCTCTTGGTAAAAAATTCCAAGAAGCTGTATCTGGGTGCAGAAGGCACATTCAGGGTAAGGTTCTCTTTCCACACTCACTGCCCACGTAAAGGTGAGATGTTTGTGACTTCTGGAGACTCCTTCTCCTGAAGTATAATGAGAAGCAATGAACTGGCCAGTGATCCATTCTGATGGATGTGAAACACAGTCAGATGGTACAGCCTGGTGCATTCCCAATGACTGATGTACACATGGGTAACTTCTAAAGAAACTTCTCAAAGAAAGAGGTACTTAAGTGGATAGAAGCCTTGGAGACACTTAGGAGGACTCTCCAAGGAGATGGGTAGGATTTGGACAGTAGGGCCAAGAAGCTCCAAGAACTGGAAGGCGGAATGCATGGAGGCTGATGTCCCACCACCTATACCTCTGTGAAAATGGGCAAGTTAGCTGACCTCTCTGAGCCTATTTTCTCACCTGCAAATAAGGATAATTATACCCACCTCATAGGGTCGTTTTGAGGATGCACTAAGCTAATCCATGCAGAAGCAGTGCCTGGCTCATGGTAAGGAAGCTGTCAGCTGCTACCATCACCATCACTGTCATCACTACCATTGTTCTTACCACTCTTACCACTGGAAACTCATGTGGGATTGTGATGGGCAGTTCTGACAGCTGGAATCTGCTCAGCAGAGGTGAGGAGAAAGGTACCCAGCATCCCTGGTCCGCAGGCAGATGCTGAGTGAAAGCAGGCCGGGCATGCCAAGGGTGGGAGGAAAGAGGCTCTGTGCGACCTGGAGAATCTTTCCCTGTAAGCTGTGGGTGTGTCCCAGAAATGACCTCATCAAGTCCCCAAAGCCTCCCGATGGTTTGTCAGGAGCTGGAGAAACTGAGGCTCCGCAGCAGAACCGAAAGAGGTCATAAGCACACAAGGAAGACATAAGGTGGCAACTCTCCTCCCTAGGCCCTAGGGCACTCCGTATTCATTCAGGGTGGTTCACCCTGAGCCAAGGAGCTAGAAGCCTCTGGCACAGCCTCCCGTCTCCTGGTGAGGTGGTGGGGGCCAGGGGCAGACCTGAGGGGAACCCGGGTGCACACAGGCAGCTTTGCTGCTGTCTGCTTGCTCATCCATGTGGTCGGGATAGTGAAGAACTAATAACAGTGTACAATTCATCTAGTTTGAAACATTTCCTTTACCAGTGAATCAATGAAGTCTTGAGAGGTTAAGTGACTTGTCTGATGTCTAATGCTAGGCCTGGGGTTAAGATCAAGACTTTTGGACTCTGGACCCAGGGCTCTCTCTATATAACTTACTAGAAGGTGACTAGTCCTCAAGATCACCTCTGACATCCCACTAAGGAATACAGGGTCCTCCTTCCTAGCAGAGCTGGAAGGAAAGCCCAGAAGAAAGAGCCCTGGCTCAAGGGTGAAAGGGATGGGACCAGTCCCAGCCATGGCCCGGGCATGCTGTGTGACCTGCACAAGCCACCCAAGGACACCACTGGACCTCCTCGGCCTGCTGGGATCCTTCGTCTGAGCAAGGGCAGTGAGAGGTGCTCGTGTTTGTCGGGTTGGTATTTGTACTTCTTGGTAAGATTACACTGAAGAAAGAGTTATGAGCTAAACAGGTTTATAGGCACTGATTCCATGGCCTTGTGGGTAATTTTAGTGCAGATGGTTTTGGCTCTGGTGACCAAGGCCTTGAAGTACAAGAGAAACTGCTTTACTCTTGCTCGCCACTAGGGGGCAAGAGACCTTTGAACTGTGGCAATCGAGAAACAGAAATAACCCAACCAGGGCTTTTCCTCTCCCCCACTCCTCCAACCTGCAGTCAGGTGGGAGTTTAAAAGGCCAATGAATGACGTTGGTAGACACACCTCACCTGACACACCCAGAAGAGGTTCAGCACACCCTGTCCTTGTGGGGCAGGACTGCCATTAAAGCTAATGTCAACTTCACGCCTAAGACCTCGGTGGGAGGAACAGGGGAGGAAGGCTGGAGAATGGTGAGCAGCCTGCCCCTCATTCATCTGAGCCAGATGGGAAGTGAGATGTCACACTGCCTGTCCCCACAGCGCACTTACAGAACTGAGACTCTGGGTTCTTCCCGGTTCAACTGGCCGCTTCCCCTCAGCCTCATGACCTTTCAGCTGTGGAGGCAGCTAGAGACTCACAGCTGGAAAGGTGGTTTCAATTCTTCCTTCTGGGCAACCATGAAGGTAAACCTCCCCTTTCTGGATCAGAGGCCAAGTCATTGGTCCTCTCCAGGCCTCCACTGCCCCTGGTGACACAAAGTCATGAGACACCCTCTTGGAAAAGCCAGGAGGGCTGGTGGGCACATGGCTCTCACCATCACTTGGGCTCAGGCCTTGGGGCCCTCCTGTGCATGGCACCAATAGCCAAGTAGAGCATCTTGAGGTGGGGCTCGCAGGCTTGGGGATGTGGGGCGCCATGGAGAGGGAGGTTAAGCACCTCCTCCCTGACCGCCACCCCCACTTCAAACTCAATGCCACTGTCTTGTAGGGTCTACTGGAATCTTCCACTAAGCATGGTTTCAGGTGTCAAGAATCTCCCAACACAGGAGTGCAAGCCCGAGTCATCTGAAATGGGCTACTCTCCTTGTTTGTAGGCCTGGGGGCTCTGAGGCATGGGTCTGCCTCCCTAGGGTCTAGGAAAGGGAGTACCTGGAGTAAGTAGTTATGCCTTCGGCCTCATCCTCACCCCAGTGCCTCCACTGAGCAGGTCGGCTGGGAGAGGAATACCAGGCAGGCCGAGGCAATCTCTTCCAGAAGCCACTGGGGCTGAGCAGGGAAGGGAGGAGGGCACTCCTCCGTCCTGCCACCATCTTACCCTTCAGGCCTGAAAAGGAAGGCCGACTTTCCGCTCCCCTTCTCGCGGCCCCTCGGTGCTCTCCGCTCTCTCTTCCCCTTTCACACACACATACGCTCTCCAGACTGCACACGCTGCCAGCTCTTTCACAACCAGCTTTCCCCATGAACACGCTGGCTACCGGCTCCTCTGGACCCCCGCGGGCCTCCGGGCCTTGGCCGCAGGTGCTTCTTCAGCTCCCCCGACCGAAGACCCAGGATTGGGGGGAGGGAATGAGATGTGACGTGGAAGCGAAAGGCTGGAGGGGCTCCTACCGAAAGACTGGAGGGCCACCTACCTATGGTTCTCTGTTCCCCTGGGCCTGCTACTTACCAGACAGTCCTAGGTACTCACCCATCTGTCAGTCTGGCCCCAGAATGTAGAATCTCATCTAATTAGAGGGTGTTTTTCTACAAGAAAGGCAGCCTTTAGCTTTTATTCTGTCTGTGCCACCGCGTAAACCTGCACACAGTGGGTTCCTGTGGGGCTCAGTCCTGCATACCACTCCAGGGCAGATCAGGGAAGGGGACAGGAACATCCTTTCTCGACCCAGGACACTTCTGAGAACCTCCCTCTGCTCTGACCGTCCACACTGGAGGCTTAGTACTTAGCACGCGGTTTTTCATTGGTGAGAGGTGTTCTTTCTCCTCCCTGTCCCCAGATCCTGCCCAAAACCAGCTCAAAGTTCCCAAAGGCAGTCTTCAGAACTTCCTCTGCCTCCCCTCAGACCTCTGTCCTCAGTCCCTGAATCCCAGGCTCCCTACTCTGGCCCCAGAGTTGGCAGCCACCCCGAGGATCTGGGTAAGAAGGCCAGGAGTGGGGGATGGAATCCCCAATTTTAGAGAATGGGCCTTTGCAGAATCTGGGGATCTGCCCATGCCTGGGTTATTCCACTCGCCAGCCCTGCCCAACCAGCAATCAGAGAGGAGAAATGAGCGGAGAGACCCCAAAAGGTCTGTCAGTCAAGAGACAAGGTCAAAGCAGAACTCTGGCTACCAACAGCTGGGCAACAGGGGAGCTAAGGGTGGCAGTCAGCTATCCTAGGGCCATAGAAAAAAGGACTGCTCCCCTCTCCCCCGCCCCCACACACAGTGAATCCTGACAGGGGAGCGGGAAAGAAACAGCCAGGCCTGGGAGACAAAGTGACAAGTCGATGAGGCCTGACCTCTAGGGCCCAGGCCAGACAGCAGAGGGAGGAAGCAAAAGAATGGCTACTGTCTGAAAGCAGCAAGAACCCAAGGGGTTCCTCTGAAGAATGGCCCCCACGGCTGCAGGAAGGGCGGCTAACTCTCCCACAAAGGGGCACAGGGCACTCACACACCAGGAGGCCTGGTCCGGACCTGGAAGGGAAGGACCATAGAAAACCAGCGAAAGGAACCCTGAGCCCTGGAACCAAATGTGGGTGGCATGGGCACGGGAGTCCCACCGGGACTGGACGCAGGCAGCTAGAGAAGCAACCACACCCATCTCAGCTGGAGCAGTGAACACTGGAGACGGTGGCACATTGTCCTACACATTCCTTGGTTTACAAATCACTTCCCCGCATATCCTCTTTCTGATTTTCACTTTTCTAACCACCCTGAAAAGGCTGTAGAATCATGTATCCATAGGTGTGTTTTGCACATGAAGAAGCTGAGGTTCAGAGAGGTTAAGCAGCCTGTCCAAGGTCTCCTCGATGATAAGTGGCAAAGCCTGACCTTTTGACTGTGAACATGAAGCATATACACTATTGCATATTATAAGATCATCTGTACCCACTTACTAATAACATGTAATAAGATTTTCAAAAGTTAACCCCCTGGAGTCCCACCTCTACAATTCATACTACTCTTGGCAAACTTGAGCTAAACTCCCCTCCCGGCAAAACATCTTTACCTAACATTTCTGAGTGTGAAAATACAAATTCGGGAAACCTTTCCCCTGCATGATGGAAGTTCCAGGCTCTCTCTCGCCCACGGCCACTATAGGGAAGAAAAGGGTAGAGGCTGGCCTAGGTTCCGTTTAACGAGACAGTATCAGACCACACTGCCTTTAGTTCATTAGGAACATGCAAAGCAAATGGGGCAAGCACTATGTATCTATCCATTGTGGGACTAACAAAACGGGTGGGAAGATTTGAACATGAAAAGGCCAGTGGAGGCTGCTGTATTAAGTCTGCAACTGAAGTCAAAACAGCAGCACATGGAGGACATCGGAACCCAGCGCAGAAAGTGAGTCCTTGCTGAAGGCCACCCAGGTTCACTCCCCCACCCGGCAAGGAGGCAACCAACGCCCTCCAGTAAGAAGAATTCCTTTGGCCTCCTCACCACTTATCAGTGCGGGCAGTGCATTTATCTCGGCAGTGTTCCTTTCACCTGTATTTGCTCCCACCCCCAAATTTCCTCTTGGGCTTATCTCCAAGCCATCCTTTTCCTCAAAAGATTAAAGATTTAAGCACAACCAGAGAACAGTATATGTAGTCTTCAAAGAGCACTTTAGGCATCATAAAGAATACTTTAACAGGCGCTATTTTTTTTTCCTTACCACACCTGTCCTCATAAACCGTTTACGAGTTCAGTA